ACATGAAGGCTCGCTCACCGAAGCACCGCTCTTTTCACTGCCTGGGACAAGCCGGTAAGGTGCTGTCGTCCAACTCGCCGCGATCTGTAAATCTTCTAGCTGCTGCTCAGCAGAGCCTCGAAAAGCCCTTGCAGCCGCTCCCAAAGAAAATTTCAAAAGATCTAGCGAGCTCCTCCGCACAGCTCCAGCAGCCACAACGGGCGAAGAAGTTGGCGATGCCCACGACGCCGCTAGGCAGAGTACAGTCGCAGCTGAACGTCGCACAGACTGGAAGCTGCGGCTATTCTTTTCAACGCTGCAGAAGGCAGCGAGGGCAGCACACTAGCTGCTGCTACTTCCTGGAGGTAGCTTTCAAGCGTAGCTTGAGAACGTAGCCGCATGCGCCATAACAGATCATGAATCGGCGTATTCATCTGATACAAGAAAACTGCACCGCCGCCGCGCAGCCCTCCCGGCGTCAGCTTTGTGTACCGCGGTACGCCCAAAGCCTGCAGGATTGTTTCCCAGCGCCTGCGGAACGTAGAGGCAGTAGCCGCGAAGATTTTCTCCTCCAGCGGAAGGCGTCCCAACAGCCGAGAAAGAAAGTCTACGAAGACAGCTTGCCTCACCACAAAGTGCTGCACCTTGCCAGTGCCACGATTGGCCGACTTCGGAGCCTCGACCCGGACATAACAAGTCGGCAGGTCGTCAAGCAAGAGGTCTTGGGGCAGCAACACCGCAGAGCGCCTCGCCAGCAGAGGCTCTCCCACGCGAGCCGTTCCGCAAAACGAGAGCCCAACCACAGCAGCAAAGCGAGGCCAGCCAAAGCTCAAAGCAACAGAAATGACGGCTTTAGCCAGGGCATGAGGAATCGGAGTTCTGTGGGCCGTTGGGCACACCCGTTCCCATCTGGTCACTAAGTCCCAACATAGAGGCATGTAAGGACGCAGCAGCAAATTCTCCTTCTGAAAGTAGGCACAGATGTGCCGCCACTTGTAGAGAGGCTGCCCAGATGAAAACAAGAAGTTCCCGTAGGCTCGCAGGACGGTGCAGAAAGCCATGGCACAACCCTCAAGTTAGCCCTAGCAACTTGCACCGTTGCCGTTGGGGAGGTGTTTCGGGGCTACTTGGCTGGGATGAAGACGTGGGCTATAATTTCGATAACATCATGCGATTTCACTCCTGTATTTACTGCCGCACTGGGACAAGCTGTACAGCAGACATTGTGGATCTGATCGGATCGGTAAAATCAGAAAACATGTACACCTGCATTGAATTGGCATTGACAGCACGTCCTTTCGCTGTGAACTTTGAGCCATTCGAACCAAAATTTAGGGAACCCCTGAAGCTCGAAGTTTTGGGATCTTTCTTGAACAATTTGAGCCAACAATTAGGGCAGCTTGGAGTTTAGGGCTTGGGGGTCCTGTAGGGCTGGAGAGTCGCTCAAGCTGCATATGATGTTACGTTATGCGTGTTGGAAGGGCGTGTGCAGCTACCTAC